CATCTTAAAAATCAAAATTTTATTCGTTCAAATCATTTTTTTGTTATTTAGACCTTCTATAGCACTTATTTTTCGTTAATTGAATCAAATTTAACAATGTATTAAGAATTCAATTTAACTTATTTTAAGTAATTAGCATTTTTAGTAAATATTTTAAGTAAATTTATTTGAAGTAAATAGTTTAAATAGAATTCAATTTTAAGTAAATAGCTTTAGGAAGGTGTAATTGGAAAAATAATATTAAAGCAATATTTGAAGTTCGCGAACAAAATGATTTATCTGGTTCGAAGTTATTACCTTTGCTTGGTACCAAACATTTGATACCCATAACACTTTGTATCGATGATAGCATTTTTTAATTCGAAATTAAAATTTTGAAAGTAATAGGAATTATTGAAATTAATAAATCTTCGAATAAGCAGATCTTCCAGAAAAATCAGATTTCTTGTTCTATTTCAGGTGACATCTAAATTTTAATTTAAAAAAGTGGTAAGATGAATATTATTATTTCTTTTGTTCTCCAGTTTAAAAGGAAATATTTCATATTTCTATTGTCACCTGCTGTATGAAATTTGAAATCAATTAATTTACGAATATTCCATATCTGCTGAATTTTTGGTATCAATCAAAAACGTTTTCAGATTCTTACGGATGATCAATCAGTAAAACCAGCGGTAAACCAGTATCAGATAAAACCAGTATCATTCTTTGGTTACTTTGTTAAAAACCAAATGCAACAAAATATTATGGTATTGAAGGTTTCACTAATGGTATTCGAATAGCTATTGCTTGTGGTACGCATGTGATTACATCGATGTTATTTAAAGCCAATGGAAGATTGTAAAAAGATAATTTAATTTGTTTTGAAAAGTTTAACCGAATTGAAACCCGAAATATTAGATTAACACTATTTAATTAATTTTGCAAAATGGAGAACCTATAAAATGAATAAATTGTCTTTCTTGAATACATGAATAAATGGCCCTTCAAAATGATCTTTCTTGTTAGCATATTCTAAACCTGATTTCTGATTCCTGTTGACAAACTTCAGGAATAGCCAACTTATCCATCCAACAGTATTTCATCAGATTCTGCAACAAAAAGATGTATAAACTTTTATTCTAACGAATACCATTCAAAAATATTAAGTTAACATTTTCTCACACATTAATCAAATAATTTAAATTACGAACTTCCTTAGAAGGTTCAAACTAATTATAATGCGGGAATATGAATAAAAAAGCTAACAATAAAAGATGTAGAATAAATCTGAAATCAATGAAATCATTAACTCATTGAATAACTATTTAATAAATTAATTATTAATTCCGATAATTAAAGTTGAGTATACAGTTACTTGTTTTTATCTTTTTGCTTTTAAAATCAATGATATGTTGTTGAAATATTTAAAGCTTTAAAATTTTAAAGTTCAATAAATACAGCATTTCTCTGTGTTGATGGCCTACCTCAATGTGCACGAATTTCTTGGATTTTTTATTGAAGGTCAAACGGCTGCTAACAACACATCATTGTTTCATTTCATTTTAAAGCAGAAAAATTGTGCCAAAAAGAAATTATTAAATATTTCATTTACACCTTATCTGCCTTATTAATTAACATTCATTCTTTTTTGTTATAAATAATTTCAATTCACTTTCATTTGCAACATCCATCAGTGTTAAACATTATGGATATTACTTTGCTTAAAATCCAAAAACTGATTCTTCCATTCACATAACATTCAGATTCTCCAAAAGATGCTTGCAGAATACCGGGGATCGGGAGGTTTTCCGGGATTCGGAGAAGATGAAAGCTGAAATGTTAGGATTATCTTTTAAAACAGGTACACATTGCTTTTTTTTCATCTAATAACTATCGTATCCATCTATGATTTGTTTGTTTACTATAATTATTATAAATTACCTTGGTAGGGTAAATATCAAAAGCGAGAGAGTTGTTCAACCATTAATGGAATAACTCAAACTAATATACGAAATCTCTTCTACATATTTCATCTTTGTTCCACTCCTACTGCTTCAATTTGTTGTAAACTTTTTCCGGAAAAGCAGATAACTAGAATGCTAGAAATTCACAATCATTATCAATTATTCGATAAAATTAAAAGAAGCGGCAAGCAATGAAATAAATTACAATATCAAACAATTTTAGATAAATTCGAAGACAAATTAGCTTACCTGTTTAAGCACAAATTAATGAAAAACTCGATATATTCGCAGAAAAAGGCCAGAAATCTAAACACTATTTCTGTGCCGACCTACAAGAAATATATTTTTGTTATTTCATGTTTTCGTATTCCTAAAAAAATGTAAAATTATAAACCTAAGTAATTCTAATTTAAAATTCATTTATATCAGTGTAAGTAAGTAGCAACAAGAAATGAACATACATTTTAAAACTTCACAAAAATTACTACACTAGAAAGTTTTCGGATTTCTCAGAGAAAATCAAATTGAATTCCTGGAAAAATTGAACTAAGATTTATCAGCACATAATATCACAGTTAATAATAAAACAGGTGCATCGTTAGCTTCTTGAGGATACCTTCATATTACCATACTTTTCAAGATACCTGTAAATCTAAACAATTTCAAAATAATAAAGTTTAAAAAGAATGAAATTAAAAATTAAAAGAGATATTTAAAATTACCTATTAAAAATTACGCATTAGTTTTGAAAATCAATTTTTTCGTTAATGAAAAATAATTAATAAAAACAATTCAGTAAATTTAATGTAAATTTCTGGTAAAAATAATACTTTGGAAGGAACGATAAACAATTTTGAGACAGCTTTATTTTGTTTTTTAGAACTTTTTGTTTTTGTTTTCGTTTTTGTTTTTAGAAATTAAGAACTTTTTGTTTAGTGAAAAAAAATAAAAATGAAATTTTACAAGTAGTAGATGTGTTAAATTACCTTGAATGAATAACGGAAGCTGTAATGAATACGAATAACAAATCGAAATGGATAATCGAATGATCGGAAAGGATTATAAGAAGCAGTCAATTGCGCTTATTAGAAGTTATTCAATTCACTAATATACAAAATAGAAAATAGTTAAAGTAAAGAAAAAAACTGGCATGATAATTGTTTAGTTCATTAACCTTTATTTTAAATTATTCAGCTTTCTCATTGCTGAATTAATAGATACTTTTTTAAATATCCGTATAAAAAACAGACTTTTTTATCCGCTGAACCGTTCCTGACACCGTTGGTATAACAGATTAGGTGTTGGATGAAATGTGTATCAATTCATTGCTGTTTGATGATTTTCGCTTTTGATTTTAATTCATATAAATATATTAGTATCGAAATAATGAAGAGATAGCTATTAATTTAATGCGAACCAATGTAATTAATTAAAGGTTAGCCGCAGTAAATTGCTGATCATTATACTAAAAAATTGGAATTAAATTTTAAAATATTGAAATTGAATTAAAGTTTAATAGGATTTAGGTGAGAAAACTTTTATGGAACGATTGCTATGAATATCATCTAAGAATGATTAAATTTTGGTGCAAAAAAATTTCAGCAAAATTATGCTATCTTACAAATAACACGCATGAATAATATTTATTGACTATGGCAAACCGGAAACTAGAATCAAGGACAGCCAATTCCTATAGGATAGCCAATTCCGTAATAGTGAATAGTAATGGCTGGAATGTTTTAGAGTTAAATAGAGCTTATCACATTATTTGAATAAATGTATTCATTTAATTTGGAAAGAAATGCTTCCTGGGCGATAGCTTCCCTCACTTTCAGCTAACTAATTTACTGGATAATTTAATTAGCAAAAAATCTCTAAATTGCGATTTTAACTTTCCACGAAATAGCTGTGCGAAAGCATATCATAGAGTTGCATTATGGAATAGCAGAACAAGCAAATGAGGTGGAAGAAAGTTTAACTCTTGAATTCTGATGACAAGAATGAAGAGAACAGGGAGGGATCACTTCTGCGACATAAACACGATGGCTCGTATCATTAGAACCAAATTCTTTTTCGATGATATTATGAATTCTTCATTTTAAATCAATATTGAAGAAAAGAGAACTTAGGGAACCAGCCTGAATGTAATAGGTATGCACAAATAGGCGCCCTACATTATGGGTCTATCTGAATGACCGATGTAAGGCGATGCATTCAGGTCATATTCTACTTCGGCAAGTGCAAGTTTGAATCCTGAGGCGGACAAGTGCACTTCGTTGATTGATGACAGCAATTTAGTTGAATGAATGAGATGCTGCATTTAATATGCTCTTCTCTATCATATCATTATTATATTTTTATGAGCATTTGACATAGCGATTGTTGTTTTATCATGCGCTCATGCGCTAATGTACAATTTCAAATATTCGATCTTTCCGGAAAAAAAGTGCAATGTAGATATTACGTCACTCATTACATTAACTATCGGTTTAAGTTTTTGATGTTAGCTAATTATTCTAACCTTTAATTTTATGAATTCATTTTATACAATTGTAATTAAAACTCATATTTCAAAAGAAGATAGATATTTTCCGGTTTTGTTCTGTCTTCATTTTCCGTTGTATATAAGAGACGGATACTGTATACCATCTATCTATACTCTCTTCATATTCTTACCATACATTCCTATGTTTCTTTAATTCAAAAATTTTACAAAAAGAAATATACCCATGCATAGAATTGATCCTACAACGCATAACTGATGATAGATAGAAATGAGCAAAATTCACTTCGAGCAATCCAACATTCCATTGCCGCTTTGGTTGTCTGTACTGCTTGATTTGTTAGCTTCGCTCTCAATTGCTTACCTCTTTGAGCAGAGGACTCGGAGAATGAATGAATGGATGAATGAATGGTACATAACATTCGTAAACACATACACACATACACACACACACACACAAACAACATACATACACATACACAAACATAACAGAGACATATATGGATGTATGTCTGTCTTTTTGTGTATATATGTATGTGTGAGTGTGTGTGATGTATGTATTTGGAGCTGAGGTCCCTAATGGTGCTATCAGTGGAGAAAGGGATGCTGTTTGTAACGTATTCCAGCTCGCTTGGTTGTTGGCGGTGATGGTAAGATATAAGGTGGTAATAATAGTGGTAGTGGTGCTGGTGGTGGTGGCGGTGGTGAATGATGGTGGTAGCGGTAGTGAAGGTTGGTGGTAGTTGTGATGGTTGTGATGATGAGAGTTTGATTCAGTTTTTATGGTTCATTCGGTCGCCATTTCTCGTCACCAACAACACTAACATCAGCTCCAAACTTGCCAGTCTCATTGTGGCGCAGTAGTAGCAGCACCATCTTGCTCTTCCTATTTTGAATCACTACTCATCCAGCATTTGTTGAGGTGCTCATTTTGATAACACATACATATCATCGAATTAACAATGAATAATCGCTTCCTCTTTCATCATTTAATTATAGCATATATCAAAATTACTTCATCATATTTATAAATTAATTTATCTTTAATTAGTTTGTTTAGAAATTCATATCTGTCATACTCAGGCTTTTAGCTATTTGAATAAGACAGTCATTGTGTGGCAATAAGCGCTTTTGTCTAAACATGAATAGAATTTCTTTCATTTCTTTTTCTGCATTTTCATTACTTCTTTATTCAGTTGTTATATCGTTGTGTCTTGAAATAAGAGAATCAGTTATAAACGGCCACTTCAGGTTAACATAGTTCTGAATGTCCCGTTTGGCCTGTCTAATCGATCATTTTACATTTAGTTATGAAAGGGAGACATTATGGCCTTAGACTATCAAAGATCGAAATATGCTATTTATATACACTCCTTTTTGCACTACCATTTGAAGCTAGATTTTGCTTGAGCTTATAGCATGACCTTATTGAGTTGTTGTAATATGTGCAGAAATAGAGTAAATATGAATGTTAGCATAAAGTTTGTTCTCTCTTTCTCTCTCTCCCTCTCTCTCTCTCTTTCCATTTTACTTCGATTTCCAATTTTTGGCTTGAAATATTGTTGAACTGGTCGTTATCAACTTCCAGCACTACTCATGTACTAACTGCAGCTTCTACTTCTAACTTCTGTTCATTTCATCCTTCATTTTAATAGCTAACAACGAGCAGATCGCTATCCATCTTATCTCTTTCTCTTCATCATTCCTTTTATGGATTTTTATTTAGAGATAGCTGTGTGAAGTATCGAACGAATATTGAGAAAAAGGCAAGAACTTGAGCAGTAGGCTCGAAGTATGTAAAATTCTAATGCCTGGTCTATTTGGTTGCGAAGAGAGACAGAGCTGCTTCCTTTACTCTCGTACTTTATATAGGGCCTATATCATGGGAAAGTAGATCCAATGAACTAGCACTTGACCATATAGTCAGTTCTCCATCGTTTTATTTCACCATACAGCAACTACTCTTTCTCATTTCGTAAATTCTTATTGTTTATCATATCAGTTAGATTCGACAATTGTTATAAAAGGTAGTAGTATTATATTTGCATAAAATGATGGATTATACCCTTAACGCTATTACTATTCCACACACATTGTTATTTCCTGAATTTACTTTTGAAAGTAATAATAGTTACAGTGTTGATGACATTTGATGTGTTATCGACGATGATATTCAAAAACTTATGAATGAATAATTTGAGATTGGGAGAGAGGTTGTGAAGGAGGAAGGTATTAAATGAGAACAAAGCATCCCTTCTTCTCATTTCAAGTTGCTGTCGTTAGTTGACAACTTTCCTACCATTGATAATTTCGCTCGTTCATCGAAGTTCAGGTTTCAGTGATGTTTGCTGGTTACTAAATATATTCTTGTTGCTTTAGTGGAAAGAAAAAAAGGAATTTTTGTCATCATGAATTGCCTTCGTCGTTGTTATCATCAGGTGGGATTGCTTAATGATCCTGCTGCTACTATTAGTACTACTAATACTGCTGCTGCTGCTGTTACTAATAAACAGGTTTCAAGGATTTGGTAGTAGTGGTTTTGGATGAGTGGTATGGCTGGTGCTTTGCCGGCATCACCTCATCGCTAATTTCCTTTACTCTCTTCCTGTTCTATCCCCCGAAGAATGAGATGAAGAAGTGGAAGAAAGATGGGTTTTCTTTCTTACCTGAAAAACAAGATCATCAGACCTATCGCTTCTCTTCCACTTTTCTCACCGTTAAATTTATCAAACAGAAGCAACGGTAATAATAATAATAATAATAGTAATAATAATATAGTAGTAGTAGTAGTAATAGCACATCTACTGTTGCTAACCGCTTCGTTGTTGTAAATTGATGAGTGGAAGAGTTGCTGCTATCGCTGATCCAAGAACGATTACTTTTTTTTGGCATGGCTTACGGTAGCTGTGAACTATTTTTCAAAGTTTTAAATTTCATTTCTCTTACAATGACTCATTTTATTAAAAGAATGTTGTAGTATTTGTCCTCTGATAAATTTTGAAAGTATTTTAAGCAACTAACTAATATGAGAAAAGCTATATGTTAAAAACATTACATTCTATTTAATTATTTATGAAAGGATATCAATCCGCTTTAGATTATTTATAAACAAAGAATGATTGAATGTCATCGATCGCTTTCACTGTTCTGAAAAATCAGTTCGGAAAATGACCTTCTTGTTATTCTTTGTTTAAATATTCTTCCTCACACCTGTTATTACTCCAATAAATGATGTTTATTTGATGCTTATTTAAGTTTTTAATTACGATTCTAAATGTGCTAAATATAAATGTTGGATGATCATTTGATTAATCAAGTTGATATTTTTATCTCTGTCATTAGAATGAAACGAGATAACTTTACAGAATTTTTATATTGTCATAATTGATACGGTATCTCAGTTCTAGTAGCATCATGTTCTAGTTCACGTGCATAATTTATCTATTCGATTTTGTTTCTACTTTGGAAGATATTGGGCTTTTGTTACATAATGCTTGTTTGTGATATTTACCACTGACATTGTTACAGTATGACAGCGCGCTGATGTTCCCTGAAGTGTTTCATACATTTTCGCTCCGGAACTTGATGTTGTCCTCTTCTATAACTGCAGTGACAGCAGCAGTTCCTGTCATGACAGCGATAGGCGATCGATGACAACGATAACACGATGGTAATAAAAGAATAGAGATGGACAGAGGAAGGGGCAAATGGACCATTGAAGGGGATAGGTCCTGCTCCTGCTTCTACTCCTTGTGCTCGTTCTTAAAATTTCGAAAAATGCGATGGAGAGATGATGTATGGAATGGCTGTAGAAATAGTAAAGAGGGAGATGGGGTAGGTAGGTTTAATGCGTGTGTTATGTCATATCATGTGCAATGTGCATGTGCATGTGCATGTGCACGTCTCTGTGCATGTCGTGATCTCGTCTTTCAACCACAAAATTATGATTAAAGTGTGTTCGTCTGTGTATGTCTTCGTGCACTTTGTGTATGTCATGAATTTTGGCTGTTCCACTCTTGTTATCCCGAATCGAAATGAATGAACTATAGCGAAATGTGGAAAAAGGGAAAGGTATTATGCCACCTTGCAAACTACCCACGATTAGTGCCAGCAGCACTGACAATAGCGCCAGTCGTAGCAACAACTTCAACTATCTATACTTGATCAGTTCAATTCATTCCTTAATAAAATTCTTTATTCATTCTTTATCCATTCTTTGGCTCATTCTCTTTGCTTTCCTATTCCTCTTTGCCGTCAAATATCTTACAAGTTAAATCCTAACCCCAATTTCATAGATTTTTATGGTGAATGAGACCACCAATATAGCGGATGGAGCACCAGAAATGGGAGCAATCGGTCGGGTCGAGCGCACCACTACCTGTCCTTCCAGCGTCTCTTTACCTTTGTACTCCACCCGTCTGATCGGCCGTCACAAAATGAACATCAAACACTACTCATTCGACAAATACACACGACCATTTCGACACAGTTTTCCGTCATCTAAAGTGTTACATTCCGTGATCCGGTCTTCAGATGTCTCCTACTTTTGAACTGATCCAGTTTGAACTTAGCCACAATTATTTTTTCTCATAAGCATTACCGCATGCGCTCATCACTGTTAGTGACAGTGTGAACAGTATCATTCTCTCTGTCCATTTTATAGCTATCTTTCAGTTCCTACTTAATAATCACTTTTCTCTATAACCGAGTATTTCCATTCTTCATAATAAATATTCACAAAAAATTCTAAAATTATATTAATAGCTTTGATCTTTATCATTGCACTAATTGATGATTAGTATTACTACCTAATATTGCTAAGAGATGATAAAGTGGAATAGATTTATGCAAATCGATTATCATCAGAAAAACTTATTCATTGCATCTCAATAATTTAACTTTTACTGAAAATGAAAACTATTAAATGCTCGTAATTACAAATGGTCAATTGAATGTGGTATACTGTTGGCATACTGGAAGCAAATTTTTCTTTTCGGCTCAGTTCCGAAATAACATTTTAAACTGAAGATGTTCAACAGGATTATAAAGCCCTTCATAATTTCAGAAGATGATGTGTACAATTATAGAGAGAATTTCTTAATTCTTCAAATGAAATCAATTATTTGAAAGCTTTCTAAAACTCCGGAAACGGGATCTTATTCGTTTCTAATATCCCGATTTTAAAGCTTTAAAAATTCGTCGAATGAAAATCTATCTATTCCAGTAACGATCAATTTTTATGCGTTAAGAATGATTGATTTTTGTCACATTTTAAGTTTTACCTCAGAATTGCTTTAATTTCAGAAAACGTGCTGGACATAGAGCAACAAAAGCAGCAACGTGTTTCACGTGCCGTTGAACGTATTTTACGTCTAGTTTGCTCAAAGCATCTTACAGAAGTAATGAATGAAATTCCAACCGCTTCATCGCCAACATCATCATCAGCACCACCACCAGAATCGGAAAAACTGGCTGCGAAACGAAGCGCAAGCAATACAAACAGCGATGAACAAAGTGATTGCGAGTTGGTTTAGAATTCATTTCTTTTTTTTTTATTTCCACAATCAAATTAATTGTTTGAAAGCCTACAAAAAGATTCTTTACCTTTCCTTCCAATGGGATCCGTTTTTTTCAACAAAAGAAAATATTTTCCTGTGCAAGTAATTAATTACTTTTTATTTAATTAATTTAAATCTTACATTTATTTCATCTTTACCTTAACATATGAAATGCTACCATTTCAGAGATAAAATTAGAATTATTATTTTCATACACTGTTGTTTTTTACTTTATAAAAAATTAATTTTTTGTTTTAGTCCAAAGATGAAAATGCCGAAAAGTGAGGTAGAAGTTGTAGTGACCGAAGATCATGATGTACAAAGCAGGTATGTGATACGATACCGAATCCAGCCTATTTACTTCTTTCGGAAGAATTATATTTCAGTTTAGTTATAGATTCACTATTGCCCTTAAAACTTACAGAATCAAATCGCTGCACAAAATCTAGAAAAGGTATCCAGAACGCTCCTGGTTCCGGACCATTTGGTAACAAAATACGACGACTTGATTCATCCCAACCTGACC